ACTTTTGGAAAAAATACATTTTCTCTGCCTCTCCCCTGTGGTTGTACTGTCATCTGCAGAAATGCACCATTCGGTCACAATCAGAGGCAGGGGGAGGATCTTAGCGCTGTTGATCATGCTCATGTACGGCACTGAAACATGAAGTTTCAGTAGCAGGCATTTTCTCTGCTCAAAGTTTAAGAAATTGTTACCCAGCTCATCTTCTCCCTCCACTTCTTCCAGGACTTACTTGCTGTTTTCCAAAGTCTTCATAATCTTGTTTGTTCATAGATATTCTCTAAGAAACCTCTGACTCCTTCACATAACAGTTGAATTTATTCTATAATTAGGTGACTTTTTATGGTAATTGTTTCCCCAAGATTTTATGTAATCATATCGGTGTAAAGAGCACTGAACACAAATACACACCACACATTTAAAATGTTTAATAGTTAAGAGTTTCAAAAAATATACTCTCATACCATAATGTAGACAAGAGATCTGAAACAACATGAAACAACAATAAAATATGCTGCAATTTGTCGACACAATAAGGCAAAATGAGAAAAAGCTCAAGGAATTTGCATGTCTTTGTCACATTCTTTTCACAGTGTATCACTCTATTAAAGACACTCTCAGTCTATGGTGCACATGTAGTTCAAACTTGATGGTCCCCATTCCTATTGAACCTCACATGGTGTCGTTTTGCAGCAAATTCTATGCCATGCAAATTCAGTCCAACTTTTCTTCCATGATATTCACCAAATGATTTCTGGACATACCCGCAGACCCTTATCTTTGCATTTTCTTGGAAAGTTCATGACAGAGTTGCATGATGAAAAGAAACCTCTGTGGGTATTTTCCACAGATGTTTCCACATAGCAGAGCCAAAACCATGTCACCACTGGCAGGAATGGTTACAAACCGAATGAAAGTATGATGAGACATCTCAGAACTGAAGCGACCACAAAGCATGAGGAAAGCTCGGGGTGGTACATTTTGGAGCTGTGGTGAGAGATGCTTCTGTAGTTGGATATAAAAAGTTAATGGTTTTAGGACTGTTGGAGGATGTTCCTTGTTGTATGTGGTATACAAGTTTAGTTTAACCAAAGCAGTTTGAACAACAGCCCTCTGGCTGACCTCTCCTAATCCAAAGCAAATAAAGGCTTTCAATGAGATCTGGAACACTGCCATAGCAGGGTCTCTGTAAAATACAGGCTAAGCCCCCCAGTTATCACATTGCATCAAACTAGGCCAAAAAAAAACAAAAAAAAAAACTGACAAACCAGAAAGTGAGTAGGTTTTTTTTTTCCAGATATAATCACAGTACAGGGTCTTATTCTGATACAGCCCAGTTAAGATGATAGAATTTAGTGGCCTCTCAGCACTCTTTATTGATTAACAATTTCTCAGTTAAATTATCCTTCTTTTTTATCCCCTCTCTCTCTCAGGCTAATTTGTTGTTACCTTTCATAACTGCAGTCTTTTTTCTGTAAGGACTGAATTTAAGTTTTTGCAACTTAGCTCTTTTGAGCTCCCACTGGATTAAAAATATAACAAGAGTTGTAATATTGAGAGAGGCTGGGAAGTAAGCCAGTAAATATATCAATATGTTGCCACATTTATTTGTCAGCGTGACTCCATACAACAATCACCTTAAGACTTTCCTTCTGCTCAAGTTGATCTATATTTTAATATCTATCCTTAACCTTTCTGAAGATAAATTAAAGACCTTGACCCTTATTTTGCCGTCTAATTTTTTATTTTAAATTGAAATCTTAATGTATATTCTGTATTTGATCAAGGTTATTATTACAAAACAGTGAATGAATTAGTGTTTAATTGTTAACTGATTAGATCCTTAATACAATTATTTTTAAAAAGTGTAATTCCACATTGGATAGAGAAGGTGAATGAATCAGCTCATCATTGGTGCAGAAAAATATGGCAATGTCTTTAATCAGAGGTGAATCCCTTTCCCCCTCTCCCTTTGTTTTCCCTGCCTTTGTCCTGGATTGCATTGTGTTCCCTTTTGTCCCTTTCTCTTTGTTTTTTCCAAGACTAAACCTTGGTGGGTTTTTCAGGATAAATAATGCAACACACCTCTGATGAGGCCCTGTCCTATAGTTTGAGAGAATTCATCGCTGTGAGAATCGAGCTTGCTGCCAGCTTGATGTATAGAGTAAAGGGAGATAAAATAACAGAGATAGAGGGAAGGTACATTTATTCAGTCTCGCTGACAGAGGAAAAGTAATAGGCAGAGAGAAAAAGACATAGTGACAGATGTCCGGCATAAAAACTATTACACATCTTTTCAGCGGAGCAAAGAGACTTTGCATGTGAGTGACAAATCACTTAGTGGTTCTGTCAGCTGCCAAAACTAGACACCACTGAGAAAACCAGCCCAGGGAAGAAATGTTTAGAAAGGGGACAACTGTCTTCATCAAAAATTAACTGACTGTAAAAGATGAGTGATTCGTGAGCCAGTGTCCTTTCAACATTGACAACACTGGAAACATTCTAGCAAGGTTTCATTGGACACGTCGGGGGTAATTCAAGGTTTTGGTATATTGGTATATTAATTACACTATGTAGTGTTTTAATAGGCCAGCAAGATGTGAAAAAAGTATTAATAATACTGTCAGCTCAGGATTTGGATTTATACCTTTGGCAGAGCAGCCTAAGCAGTTTGTAGATGTTATAATAAAGTTTTGTCACAGCAATGCAGAGCTGCATTGTCTAACAAATGTTCTGAGCTGTTGATCCTTTGCCCCATGATAAAGGGACCCATTAAAATATATTTAACCAGAGGTGGGAAGTAAAACTTTTATCACTGACTGCAATCTCTTTTTTCTGATTCCACTGTGTGCTGTCAACATAGCGCAGTAATTTAGGGACAAATGCAAAGGTCAAATCTACTCTTTCTTCCAGAGACACAGATACGCGTGTGCATACTTTTATCACAATTAAGCTTCACCGCTTTAATTCATCATTCCCTTTTCCCAAAGGAGCACATAAACCATCTGGAGCTTGCACAATGCTTCTGGCACAGCTAGAGTGTTGTAAAGGATAATGCTTTGGTTTCAAAGGTTTGCACTCTAGTTTTAGCATCTCCATCCTCAGAAAATATTTAAAATCAGTTCTAGATATAGATCTGGGTGTTGAAATATATATGTATTATCTGGTGGTGCCCACACTCCAAAAATATAATTCAAATCATATGTACTTTTAGTCTTATCATATATGAATATAGTAAGTCTTTTCCAAGCTTATTTTCTCTCTAAAACAGTCCTCAGTTCTTCATGCTGTCAGTGTGTGCGGTATCACTTACAGTTAATGTGTACATTTAAAAAATGAATTTCAAAAAATCAATCAGAAATATGTTTTGGAAAAAAAAATATTTTCAGAGCTGATTAATCTCTGATCATCTTGGTCTAAACACCTTCTGGACAAATGGATGTTCTGTAATTCTACCTAAACTTGCCTATATTTTGCAAGAGAGGACATGGAGATCAAGTGCTATGACTTTATGCTGAATGTATCCTCGGCCTGAAGCTGCATCCCAAAACCTTGATGTTGGAAAAGCCAGCTTAAATTTCCACATCTGATACAGAGCCTGGGGTTGCACAGCCACGTGTGTCCTTTACACTGTATGGGGCAACATTTAAGCTTGCTTTAAAGTTAGCAGCAAACTTATGTATTTTCCTATACATTTTGCTTGACTTTTAGTTTGTGTTGAATCTGAGGATAAATGGAGTTTGTTGTCTGGGCTCAGTGCCTAAAAATAAAATAATTTCCTTTTCTTTACCGCTGTACAAGAACAAACAAGTAAAGGGAGAAACCTGATAGCAAATGGATATCATCACTTTTCTTTTTTTTTTTTTTTTACATGTCATGTGAATTTAAAGCAGGGCATCAGCTAGAAAAGTGAGACATAAGCAAACACAGCCAAATCAGTGCATCTGTGGGTAAAGAAACAACTCCATCAAAACGCACTGTGACATTTTAGAGATTAAAATGTAAACGCAAACAATCTCTCTGTGTGGAATATCATAAAGTGATATTATCTGACCTAATGATACAGAATCCACAACGCATTCCTGAACACAAGGTGATCCAGGAGGAATCAAGTGTCTGATCCTGATGGAAATGAGGCTCACTCTGCTCACTGTGTCGAGACTTGTGAAATTAAGATATTCTGCAACATAAATAGAGAAATATATCTTTCTGTATATTAAATGTTACTTTGATATTAATGAACGTTTTTTAACACTTTTGATTTTGCACACATAAACCTATGCCACTGGCTTAGGGATGGTTTAGACAAAGATCTTAGGTTGCCTTAATTGGCTTTGTCCCCATCCTGTTTAGCCCGTCACACAGAGCAGGTAGTTCTTTTTGGAGACAATACCGAATCACAGTGCTTTGTACTGCTGGAACAATATGACCTGTAGCTAAAAATCGCTTGAAAACCTGACATTTTGAAAAACCTTTTAGGAGATATGGAACCAGAAATTGGCCAAGATGAATGACAAATGTTTGGCTGCTTCTCTTCATTCTTTTTTCATGGCTGGACTGTGCAATGAAAGTATGTTCTTTACGCCGCTTCAAAAGTTTAAGTATTTATAAGAAGGACCATGTGAGTAACTGGCTGTATTTAAAGGCATGGTCTCATGCAGTTGATCAGCAAAAAAAAACAAAAAAAAAACTGTAGTCTCCATTTAAAGAATTTCTGCAACACTAGTATGGAACCAAATATATGCAAATGCAGACAGCATATAAATGAATAATCTGCTTCTTTGACTAACAGCCTTTATCATTAAGAGTGTTGATCAAACCACAGTTTTTAGATCCATCGGTGCTACCAGAAAAGCAATAAACGTCTCTCTGTTTATTGCTCAGTTTGAGTTCCTACATGCATTGAAGCACAGTCTTTAAAATTAAGCAGGTTTGTTTTTTCTGTTGTGAAAGTCCCAACTTATTTTCTTTTTGTTTTTTCTTCTTTCTCATTCCCCAACCAGAGTCAGGCCATGCGCATCGTCCGGACAGTTGGCCAGGCGTTTGAGGTTTGTCATAAACTGAGTCTACAGCATACACAGCAAAATGCAGATGGAAAGGCGGACTGCAACGGTGAAAAAAATGGTGGCGATTCCTCTGGTACAAACACACAACACACACATTCAAAGGTCAATTTGCATCACTTGCACAGCTACTCATTGTGTTTTTTAATGCTGCTTTGACTTTTTTATTACCTGCTTCAAGGTATAAAGAAGCGGTGATTCTGCCTGTTCAGTTGTTTCTCATAAAAAATAAAGGAGGTACAAAAGAGCTACAGAGTTCAGGGTTAGTGCTGCTTTAATCAAAGTTGTTGAAAGGCGTACATGCAATTGCAGAAGCACCTTGAAGTAAAGTCATGGTAAGAATGAGAGACATCTCATGTTTCTCAAGTCTGTCATACAAAGACTAGTATGTTGTCATTTTCTCCAAACCTAGTAAACATTTGTTATAAAAATTAAAGCCTGACATTTTAGACTGTAACATGAGTAAATTACATCTAATCTAGTGTTAACAGCATTCTAAGACAGAAATGGTAAATGTCATTGTTGCACCTTAACCTTGAGGAGGAAACAAGCTGGCTGAGGTCATCAGCTCATTTGGGATATGAGCCGGTCAGAAGCTCTGGCACCAGCTAGTCTATTTATCCGTACCATTCATCACTTCCGATAAGAACTTCTGACCCTGAGCACCCTGCCTCGGTATAAAGTGGCTCTGTTTCTATCATGTCTTTTCCTCTTCATCAAAGGTCTGACAGTGCAAGAGATGCTGCCCTAAAAACATAGACATTTTCAGGAGGAAGGGAGTTTCTTCTCTCATTGTAGTATAAAAACTCAGGCTAACCTTTCTTTTTCGTGGGTGACTGGTATTAATTGTTCCTCACAGGAGCACAAGTTAAACTGACTTACAGTTTGCAAAAAATACTACAGTATATAGCATGAAACTATCAAGATTCTATGGCTATAGTTTGTATATAGACAGTGTGTAACACTGTGTGACACGGCCACAGCGTAAGCAGAGAACTTTTCAGTCAGACCACTTGACTCATAAAAAACAATCAAAATCGAACGCTCATTATCACATTTTTCTACTTTCGTTTTTTGCACAAAATCAGTCAAAGGTTTGCTGTCCCATTTTTCATTTCTGTTTAAACAGCAAAAAACGGAAAAGCAAGTGCTTTTTTTGTTTGTTTCAAACGGAAAAACGAACTGCCTGAATATACATGGACCCATTTGCTTGCAACAGTATACAGTTAATTCTCTGCACAATTCAGATTTTTTTTCTAAACTCCACACCAACTTTTTCATTTATTCCCAGAGTAAAAGTAACTCATCTAAAATCAGTCTTACTTTTATGCTGCAGTTGCATCAAATAATCCAAGATTCAAAGGTGAAGTGTATTTCTCAGAGTAATATTTCAGAGGGTCTGCTTTTTGAATTAGCTTTCTGAAGATGTTGAAACAAGCCTACCTGCTCTAGTCAGTGATCAGAGGCAGCTCAGTCTGGATAAACAGAGATTGGTTTTGACGGAAGAGTCAAACTAACAGCTTGTCTGAGGGGGGAGCAGTTCAATAATGTATGTATGCCTCTTTAAAACAATTCAAATTTCAAAATCTTTCACAGTTTCCAATGCAGTTTCCTAAGTCTACGCCACAAAAACTTTTTTCAGTAGACATTTACTTACATAGAAGTCTGTGTGTATTTACCCTAGAGACCATGTTAGTCTGCTCTACCTCGACGTCTAATGATTCCAAAGACCCACACTTCCCCTCTTCCTTTTTAAGGCTCTAGTTCTAGTCGGTGTTCTTGTCTGGTCTTGGCTTGCAAAACCAATGTTCAGAACACTTTGAGTATATTAACCAGGAGTTATTGTACTCTCTCAGCAGTTCTTTGTAATGTGACTATTACACAAACTGATACTGTAATGATGATGAGGAGGATAACGATGATGACATATCTATGATATGTTATGGAGCCACTATATGATTGTATTGTGTTTGATTAAACTGATTGTTAATAAATTTAGACTAAATTTGTATAGCAAAAATGGATTGGATGCACTTATGTTGTAAAGTTGATGAGATGAAATTAGTTGTGGATTTGTGCTGGAAAAGTAAAGTGAATTTAGTTACTTAAATTATCATGACTAATTTTAGCACTTTGCTATTTGCTTAGAGGCAGGAACCAGCAACTCATCATTTTCCAGTGTATTCTTCATCTCCACAGCTAAGCAGGTTTGCCATTCTGGCCTGCCTCTGGTGGTCATGTGACATATTTTTAAATCTGAAAAGAAGTTGTCTTTTGTTTGGCCAGATATGTCTCAGTGCTTTACTAGCTTCTTGATTTCTTCAGAACACCAACTCATTTGTTTGACTAATGATTGTGTACCCCCATGTTGCTATCAGCCCAGAGAAAACAATGTGCATTATAATCTGGATCTATATGCTTTGATGCTGACATAGAAGTATCTAATCGTGACATACAGAGGAGGGTAACACTGGGGTCAATGTTACAAATTATTTTACTGTACAATAATACTGATGGGCTGAGTTCTCCTTATCTGCTGCTGACTTCCTGGACATGACGGGCTTTCCCTGGAGCCCTGCGGCATGCGGCTCTGAATGAGTTCTGAGAGAACGGACATGGAGATTTAGCAGAAGAAAAAGTCCACAAACTCTTTAACCGCAGCCGTTCCAGTTATTATAGAGCAGAGTCCCAATGTGTTATCTTCAGAACCCCAAACCCGCCGGAGGGAAGCTCATATTTCACATGCTGATGAGCCCAGAGATCACCCACTGGTTTTGATTGTACATCCACACAGATGTAAGAGGACCCCACATGCATACAGAGAGAGTCCTTTTACATATGCTCTCTCTCACACTGGCGGACTGGGTGCGTGAAATAGCACAAGAGCCGTCGTGCACAGCTAGTGAGCTTATCTGGAGAACTAATTATCTCAGCAATAAAAGGAGAGGGGATAGAAAAGTGGAAGATGGCGGATTAGAGAATTTAAAAAAAGGGGAGCGAGCAGAAGAGGAAGACGAAATGCATTTTGCAAGGAACTGGGCCTGGGTAAAAAGAGAAGAAATGTAAAAGTTGATTAAAGAGAAGAGGGGATGGAAAACTGGGTTGAGCAGCAGGGAGCGGTGGAGAAAGTAGATTAAATTTCATTGTCAGAGGAAGCATTCGAGAACAATAGCACAGACAGAATCCCGGCTAACAATACAGTCTTATTTAACTTTTCAAAGAAAAGAACACAAAATTGGAAATGCTAAACATTGCCATCAGTATTAATGAAAATTGATATCCTATTTTTTGTAATACTTGACATTGTAATTTTTGCTTTGAGAATAAGACATTTAATTAAAGTCTTAAAACTCAATTATGAGAATGAAGAAAGACAATATATTAGCTCTACGACAAGAATGTGATATTACACCCCACTTAAGTAGTTCTAAGCCAAAAGTCATTTTGTAGTGTTAACTTTTTTCTTTATTACTGTACACTCCATTCTTTTTTCTTTTATTTCTTTTCACTAAGGCAGTCCCATTTCTTAATTTGTGCTGAAACTGGATTCAATTCTTGACTGGTTGTTTAAAAGAACAAGTTTGGTTTTCTCCAACTGGAGGGCCAGCTTAGTGGCATGTCCTTACAGCACTATAAATAATATGAATGTGTGACTTCCCATCTACTCCTAATTATTTAATCCTAAAATAAATTGTTCTTAAATCCTGTAGAGAATCAAGGTGTTTATACGCTTGTGTCATGTTAAAGTCCCAACTACGCTGTGGAAAGAGTACTACACTCCACTAGATGCATATTTAAAATATATATTTGCATTTATGTAAATTACCTTTCCTTTCGCACATTACCATCTTCAGCTTTCAATTGAGTTGGGATAGAAAAGGTCACAGGACAATGTGGGGCAGTTGTGGGGAAAGTGCACAAAATTGCCTACATTATTGTTCAATTCCATGCAATTCATTCACAGATAACAAATGTTGCTTGTAACAACTGTAAAAGACAAACAAATCAAATTCATATACATAAATATATAGTGTCAGTTCAATACAGTAATATGGACAGATTCTAAGTCAAATACATATATTCCGATTTGGTCATAGTTATTAGACAAAGGAGTCAAATTTAGTTCATTGGTTGAAGTTTTGACTTTGCAGCAATTCCTCCTCCTGAGCATTTATGCAGGGCCAGTGGAGAGTCAAATAACAATTCTGTATTACTTTATGAAGTATCAACACTCATATCTGTATTAACTTTTCGTCAGCGAGCTTTGAATAAATAACTATTTCTCCAAATAACACCTAAAATAAGTTCTTCTGTCAATGTAATGAATGTGTTGGTGGACTAGAGGCAAAATTGAGCCGGAAAATTCAGACAACAGCAGGCAATCATGTCAGCAACAGATAGCACAGAGACAGGCAGCAGAGCGCAACACTGATAGCAGGGTTGATGAAAAAAGAGAGGGGGTCGGGGTGGGATAATGGAGAAAGAGAAGAGCGTAGCTGGGAGCAGGTTATCAAGAATGAAATGATTTTGAGGGAAGTCTGTAGCTGCTTGTCAAATTGTTGGAAATTAGGTTTAAGTAGAGGGGGAGGACTGAAGTGGTCATTTTAAAAAGGAAGTAGAGGATCAGTGGGAAAGGAGGAGGGTGAAAATAGTGGATGGTTATTGGAGCTGGAGGAAAAGACATAAATGTGGATCGGAGAGCTAAACACAAACTCCACTACATGATCAAGTTTAAGCTATTTAAAAAATAACTTGCACTGTATTTGCCTGGATTATTGAAAAGAAGGAAACTAAACAAATCAGAAATTTTCTGAAAACAGTGTTGCTGCTGATAAAGCCGCTTCTCACTCCAAATCACCCACTTTTTTTTGCTTTGATGAAACTATGTGAGAGTTTAAAAAAAATAATAAAAAAAATGTCAGTGTGCCATGACCGAGCCACCTAGAAAGATGTTAGCTGAAGTTAGGGTCAGGAACATCAAGCTGGGTTGACATCTATACTCTTGGGATGATCTCCATTATTGAAATTAAAATATTTTTTTTAGAAATCATTTATTTCAGTACATTTTGATATTTTATTTGTTACTAGAGTTAAATCATTAGTTTTCACACTACAAAATTAATGTCATGTTCATTGAGGTTGTTTGTGGTTTATTGACTCATGCACAATATTTCCTCTTCAACCATTGATTGTTAGTGTTGCTAACATTTATTTTAGAAGCATGCATGTTTTGAAGTAATGGACCTAAAGCTCAGTTTGAGAGACAACTGCAAATCAAACAGCAAATAGACTAACAAATACATCATAGGTTTATGAAATTATTGTTTTTTTATGGTTTTGTAAGATGGAACTTTGAAAGCACAAGGTGCTAATTTTAATTTTGGGGACGTCACACTGAACTTAACAAATTCTCCAATGTATTGTTTGAAAGAGGACTATTGTATCATTGTGGTAAAGCTGCCTAAAACAGAATAACTTTTACAGTACAAAGTACAATCCAGCTTCAGTCTTTGCAACCAGTCAAGGATCAAAAAATATGAGTAGTATTCTCAGTTGTGGAAACAAATGAAAGGAGACATAAAGAATCTGGATTGTTGTCATTTAAAACATTGCTTATGGAGATTTACATTGATGTGGTGGGATGAGTGTACGCAGCAGTTTCTAAGATACTCCAATTCTGGAAAACTTTTGTTAGACTCTTCACTTTCAGTATGTGTTTGTTCCAGTATCAATGATGTTTCTTACTAGCATTTATGTGTGTGTACCCATGTGTGCGTGTGTTTACATGCTCATGCCTCCATGTGTGTGTGTAGGCGTGCGTGCTTATCCACCTGTATGTGTGTGTACTTTCCTCGGCCCAGCTCGCGAGCTAACAGGTGCAGAGAAGGCTCCAGCGAGTGTCGCGGAGGAAACGGATATTGATGCCGAAGACGTGGTCCAGGTGCCGACGGCCGAGGACCTGAACCTCAACAGAGGAGTGACAGATCTCGATGCCACTGCCAAGACACCTGACTTAACCCAGTCAGAAAATAAGGTAAATCACACCTGCAGATGTTCAATTGGGGATAATGTGCCTCAGGGCAGATGCAGTTGCCACAAAATCACACAGTGTGTTTACATAGGGAGTCAGTTTTTTGATAAAAAGAAACTTAAAGTTGTAAAAGTTGTTTAAAAAAAAAGAGATAATTTTCTCTAAATTTATTATACAGATATTTTATGCATGTCCAGATTACAAGTAGATGTTGTTAAAGTTTTTTTCAAATGCCACACATGATACTGAAAATGGCATAGTTTCAGAAGTTGAAACCTTGACAAAAAACAGTATTTTTTGCCAAGGTTTCAGCCTTTTATCTGCTGTTATGATATAAGGTTGAGGAAATTGAAAGAAGACTTATTCTTGTGGGCAAAAAGCTCAAGCTCCGCCTCCTCTGGCCATGAAGGTCTGGATTTTTGGCAGATGGACTCTGGCACATTTTCTAAGGGAACAACTGAACTCTGTTCCTTAAACTAACAAATTAATTTTCCTTCAATTGTGTCACAATCTAAACAGAAATAAACACGCTTTTCAAAAGCATAAGGCTTTTCGCAAGGAAATGGTGTTACCAAAAAAATGCAAAATTATTTACTGAATGCTAAGTTATTTGCTTATCATACTAGGATCTAAGGAGAACTGGTTTTACAATTGATATATCAGATTAGATACATTTTACAAAAGCCCTAAGCACAACCATATTTTTAGGCAATGCCCGAAAGCCAAGAAAATATCCACCACAAATAAACTCAGCAAGTTCTGCAATAAAAACTGTTTAAAAAGTCCAGCCAGAAATCTGTTAATGTCTACACAAAGTATTGGCTTGAGAGACAACATGCTATGGGATGTTTAACCAAATATTAGTGCGGGTGTATGTCACAGCTGCAGGCATCCGTTTTAATGAGGCTTTCCAGCCTTGCATCACCAAATGCAATGCAATGCAAAGCTTAGGATGCAGTGGCGCAAAGCATCACTGCACTTGAGGGCATTGAAGGCATGTTTTCTAGAGTGATGAATCATGTCTCACTGCCTGACAATTCTTGATTTAGCTGTTGGCAGGATAACAGGATTTCATGACAGCATTTTGTCAAGTTAAAAGTTTGGTGTAGAGGGGATGCAGCTCAGGAATCTGGCTAAGTCCTGCAATTGCAGAAAGAGCAAACTTGTAAATGTGCTGTTCTTAACTCCATGGAAACAGTCAGGGGATGGACACTCCTTGTTACATTATAAACGCACATAAAGATACAAATGACTGATTTTTGGTGTAGAAAAACCTTACTTACCTGGACAGAGTCCTGAATTCAGCTTGATAGAACATGTTTGGAATAAATTAGAATGGAAAATGTGAGCCAAGCTGTTTCGTTCATTCTTGCAAATCTACTTTTACAAGAAATAATCAACATTGGGAGATGCCTTCCCAGAAGAACTGAAGCATTAACATTTGGATATAACCCGAGCTCATACGTTAACTAAAATGAAAGAATGCTTATGACAATATTGCACATTTCTGAAAAACAACAGCTACACCAACAGGAGTTTCAAAGAAGACACAGCCCATTACTTCTCAGCAGCACAGCAACCCACTTTAAGTATTTTGGATGAGCAGTTTTTATGAAATGGGAAAGAAACTTAATCTGCAGATTCCTACGCTGATTGGTGATAAGACGATACATGCCTGTAATAAACTACAGTTTAATCCAGTTAAAGCCATGTCTGTGTATGTGTGTGGCACGTCTGCAGAAATAGCTCTCACTTTTCAGCGGCTATCTGCAGCGTGTTGGCATCTAAGCCAAGAAAAGTAATCCAGTGCGTGTGTTTGCATTTGTGTTGCCGCGTGGTGTAAGAGATTTGATACAGCTCCGTCAGACTGTCTGCTCTCAGACCTTTGGGAGCTCTCCACAGGCTTCTATTTAAAACTAGGAAAATGTGTTGTGCACTGTCGGGTGGTTTATAAACACAACTGTGTGGTTCAGTTGGCAAAGCAGCATAGTAACTTTTGTTTACTTGGTTTGTTTACTACTGTAGTTCAGCAGTAGGGATTTGTGTTTTTGATCAAGGTGGGAGTGGGAAGACAGCAATGCGTGATGAATATATTATGCTACTCTATGCCTTGAGAATTTTGCACCAGTTCACTATAAGAGGACTGTCTGTGCTTCATTTGTTTTCCTGACTTTAGCTGGAAAAAATATATACATACATTTGGGAAATTGGTGTTTGTGTCATTGCAGGTTTTTTTTAATCCTAAAATATTTATTTGAAATATAAATCATCAAAAAATACAAATATGCAAATAAGAAAAGTGATTTTGCAGGCTGAGCATGTTAATTTCATGACCTAATTGATCTGTGTGCAGATGATCACCTTTCAGCTATACAAGATAGCCGGAGCTAAAATGGAATGGTTTAAATGAAAGGCAAAGCTCATACCTAAGCCCAGTTGAGAATCACTGTGACTGAGTTTAAGGTCATTTGCAAAGAAGTGGCAAAACTGTCAGCCTCCAGATGTGCTGAGCTGGTTGGACTTGCCCCATGTTTGCTGCTGTAATTGCAGTGAAAGCTTTTTCTGCAAAGCATTGACAGATATCAGTAACTGACTTTGTGATATTTATTGTTCTCCTTGTGTTTTTATGTTTCTGCTGTACAGTACTTTGCCTGGCCATGTCTTGTTCTTAAAGGGCTATATAAATACAGTATGGTAATATATTGATTCAGGGGAGCTGTTAAGTTTTAAGTCGGGTTATTTTTATTCCACTTCATGCTATGCACTAGGTATGGCAAGTAGTACATTAATATTCTCTGTGGAATATTAATGAATAACAGAAGAAAATGTAAATAAAAGTTTCAGGTGATATGAATACTTTTATGTACTACTGTACATGTTTTTTTTCTAAATGGAAGAGTTTCAGAAGAAAAAATCAGAACCTAATTTGAATCCCAACTCACTCTCAACACAAATCTCTTCAGGTGTTTATCAACCTCTGATAATAACTCTACTGTAATGAGACTTTTGTCCTTATAGCTCTTGATTAAAAGCAACGTGCCGTGAAATCTCTAAAATGAGCCCTCTGCACTGACGTGCACTCTCAGGTCACCACTGGAGTCACGTGTCTGTATGTGATGCTTTGTCTTGCGCCTGTACATGCACCATATGTAGGGTTTCAGATTTATTTTCTTTAATACATTGTCACCTTGACCGATTAAATAGAAATAAGCCAGGGCGAGTGGAGAAATGTATTTGTGAATAAGACGTGGGTGCTTGCACGTATGCTGTGCCTTTGCATTAGCAGCCATTTGTATGCGTTTTCAGCTGTGAGGAGAGGGATTCGATTCACTGCAGGGGCTCTGTGGAAGCTCATGAAAGGGAAAGCAGCCTGCGAGTGTTAAAGTTCATTCTCTTCCTGTCAGCTCCCATTAGACTGACAAATCCCTCAGCGGCCCACGTTCAAACAGTCCCAGGGGACTTGGAGAGCGCACATCAGTCCTACCTTTCACGTCCTGTCCATAGATTGAGTCAAGGTGTTTTTATTTTTTTTCCGATGTGATCAGCTTTGGGATCAGGAACAGTATGACTTCAAGACAATTTTGAAAGCCAAAAGTCAAAGATTAGAGATAGTTTACACATTACACCTTTTTATTCTGGCAAGAGACACATGCTTATTGATTACTTTAATAAGTGAGCACTGTGCAGACACAAAAAAAACCCCACCACATTACACAAAATGTTAACCTAATTTTGAAGCAGAAACAATTTTGTAATCCCTGACATGTTACCAACAAAATAAAACAACATAATCGTTTCTGGTCAAATCCCACATTGCCACTAATCTCTATAACTGTGCCCTATCTCTCCACCTTACAATTTAAATGAATGTCCACATTTTGGGGGGGATTAAGGTAAGGGTCAAGTAGGTCAAATACCTGCGACCCCCACCTTTAACTCCTTCAGAGTAGCTGGGAGCAATTAGCATACACCTGGTGGAGCTGCGCATCTGTTGAGCTCATTATACGAGCTACTTCTCAGTGCAACACTTTAACAAAACATTGTTAAAGGGTTAATAGATGTGCAATGATTTTATGAAGGCCTACTGTTGGGAAGAGCAGGACTTTTTGACAGAGGCCCAATTTCAAGGCATTAGATTGGGAAGTCAAATTTCTTGTAAGTCACATTTGACATAACAACTGAAGGTAACATTGTTGATTGTACTATACAATGATTTTACGGGGCTGGAAAACGCATAAAACTGCCCCTTTAAATTGAAAATCACTCACACTTGATACACATTTGGTTTATCAAGAGAGTGTCCTGCTTTTAAGGTGAATACTGTTACTTCTGCCATGATGTCTCACAAATAAGGACCAAGTGGTCACCCAGGATCTTGGGATACCTTTAGGGAATAGCAATGTACCTTGAATGAAAGCGGCTGTTTGCCTTCAGTGTGACTGAGAAAACAGAAGGCAAGTGTTCTTGCATTTAAAGTGAGACTGTACAACAAAAGCCTTTGCAAGGTTTTGCCTCTGGCCCATTTTAAGCTTCTGTCAGGCAGGTGTAAGCTCTCTGATCTACGAGTGTAGTGCTACAGGCTGGCAGCCCCCGACTCACAGCACCCTTTCCTCGTCTTTTCCTCCCATCCCATCATTAGTGTGCCTTGATGGATTTAGACCTACCATCAGCAAGATTAATGAACAAGCGTTCCCCTGCAAAAGCTCGTAAACCTCTGTCAGCGTTTGATTTGACCGGTTTTAATACTTGTTGGAAAGTCAGAGGTTTTAGGTGATAGTACAGATTAATATAGCGACTTTAAATTAATGCAGTCATCTTGGTGCTGTGGTGAACATTGCTGAAAAATGCAACTTTGCTTTGGCTTTGGCATCTTTTTAAATACACAGAGGCCAGGTACTACGGCCTGGGGGCACACCCAGGTTACGCTGTAAAGATCATGCTTCAGGGCAGGTTTGGAAACGTATCAAAGTCCCTGTAAATGGCTGGAGGAGTTGGCTGAGGAG